TATATATATAGTTCTATCAATAAGAACATTATATTTATCAGAATTCAAGTTCATTGTTAATTTATTCACCTCAAAAACTAAACTTCTCTCCATTGATCATCTGATAGACCTCTATCTGCTTTCCATCAACATGGCTGATGCTAACCTCCATGTAAGTAACTCATTGCATGTTCTCAGCTGACATGAAGTGGAAAGACTATATTGAATCCATTGCTAGGGCAGCTGTTAAGAATGTTGGTCCACTGTGTTGTGTGAGACATTTTTTCTCTCCAGAATCTATCTTACATATCTATGTCTACTATTTGCACATGTGCAGAATTGGCAATATTATTGGTCCTGCTCTGGCAGCTCAGCTTCAATCACTTTCTCTCTGCCATAAGGTTGCCTCTCTGTGTATTTTCTATAAATACTTTCATGCTAGTTTTTCGGATGAGCTCTTCGCTATGGTACCTAGACTTTGTGAATTTCAGTGCAGTACTAGTGTCAAGATTTCATCAATTTACAGTTGAGCTGGCAAGATGTTTCTTTTCTCACACTTCTCGTTTGTGGAAATCCTGTCCAGCTCCATGCTTTCCAGCCAACTTTAATCTGCAAAAATTTAAATGCAATGTCAATTGCTATCTATTGTCCTCCTGATTACTCTTTCTTCTTCCTGCTCATTATCAATGTTCTTAATTCTTTCATACTCTGTAACCCATTGTGTCTTAGTGGCTTTACTACCTTGCATGGGATGAAACAAATTTTTAAAAAAATTAAAAAGTACATGACTGTCATCAATGATTTAAACCTTTACATAAATTACTATCCCTACTCTTTATTTTCATTTGTAACTGATTTTTAAGTATGAGGTGTTTTTTGTGTTTTTTTTTGTTTTTAAACCTTCTTCATAAGTAGCAAATGAAAGTTACCTGATTAGTCAACTATCTTTCTGAACACCTGTTGAGTAACTACAAGTGGTTTTTGGTTTTAGTCATATTTCTGTGAATTACAAGTAGTTTTATTTGTTTACTGAAAATAAATAAAATAAAACTTATTTTTGCATATTTGAACTTTTGAAATTTATGAATTAGTTTTTAATGTTAAATGTTTTAATTTGATTTTTCAAAATAACTTGTTTTTTCATCATAAAAACCTTAAAGAGCACTCAGGAAAATTAAGATCAAAATGATATACCTATACTAATACTATGACAATATTAATAAAGGTTTAAAGACCTGAAATTTTAAACTCAATTGCCAATTAAGCGCCTGGCTTGGTTTAGATTAATTTAATTTTAATCATGTAATAATTTTGTTTCCCACAGGCCATGATTGTTAAAAAGGATTAGGAAAAAAACACTCGCCCACCCTAAGTGACTGAGTATAAGTTTGTTGTTCAGGAATATTTATTATCAAAAGTGTAACATACTGTATTTGTGTTAATATAAAATGCATATTAAAATAAACTACAACATAAAATAAGCCAATATTATACTACATCTGATGTAGTGGTAATATAACTAAGAGACTGATTGTTACAGCTCAAAATGGATGATTATATAGCTTGGATGACTGTCAGTGAGTAGTAGCCTACTATCCTCTAAAAAAAGAAAAATGAACAGTCCTACAGGCTAGCAAATATAAGTTTCTTTCTTTTTCTTTTTACAGTAACAAAAATTATTGTAATTTCAAATAACCTCCAAATGGTTTTTTGCTCATTACATATTCAGCCACTTCAGCTTTTCTTTATTTAATAAAAACCTACTTTAACATGATTAAGGGTTTTATCAGATATCTACTTCTTATTTTTATGAACCAAATTCAAAGGCAGCATGCTAAAAATTAAAAAAAATCTTTCCACTATTTTTTACAGAACATAAATGCTAAGGTATGTGAAAGGTTTTTTCCATAATGCCTGACATCATATCAGATTTCTTGATAACACAAACCTCAAGATTTGTTTGCAAACTAATGCCATAGTCAACATATTCTTTTTTTTATGGAGTAAATATGAAAAAAATGTTATATTAAATTCACTAAAGATTAATAAGAATTCTATAAATGGTTTAATGGTTGTTGCAAGATAATAAAAATGGAATTTCATCAGCATAACAACTTTCTGTAATTTAAATTTTTTTTTTTTTTGGTTGTCCATTTTTTGACTGGCTTTTTCTGGTTTGTTTTTAAAAGTATTTTGACCAATATATTCACCATCTTTTAAGTTGATGTTGGATCAGTTGACTTTTCAAAGTTACTTATATTTATTAATGGTGTGTGTGCTACATTCTTGTTTGCATTTTGGACCTTTCAAAATTTGAAGTAGCAATGTCTTGCATGAATATACTATTTAGCTTAAAGCATGTTATTCTATACTATGAAACTGGAAATAGGTCTCCAGTGATTGCAGGTTTAAGGCCATATCATGTTGAAACACAGTTTCTCATCCAATCATTGAAGTTAAGCAATGTCAAACCTGATCAGTAGCTAGATGGGTGACTGCTTGGGAATACCATGTACTGTAAGTTTGGATGTGTGGGTGGTGTAATTGATAATGGTTCAGGTATGATCAAACACTTTTCTTCTCAGCTATTGGTTGATTAATGGGACTTGTATCAGTAAATCATTATCTCCCCCCCCAAAAAAAAAAACACCTGCAATCTAAAAATATTTTCTGGCCTTAATGTGCAAATGGTTGCTAAGCCATAAAAACAAATTAATCAATCCTGTTCTGACCTTTATTTGCACCATGAGTAGGCCTGAAGTATAGAATGCTATGGTTTAAAGCTTCTTGCTTGTGACATATACCACTCAAAAAACATTTTTTCCAAAATTCTCTGCATTTATCTTATCAACTTTGAAGAAACATGTAATTTTATTAACAACAATACAATCTCAAAATACTATTCCACTCCTATTGTTAGCTAAGTCATATTGGTTGCTATTTTCAAGAAGGACTTAAACTTTTAAGCAGGCCATCAAATTTGTCCAATTTAACATTACATTTATCAATACAAATTACACTTGAGAAGTCAGTTTTCATGTATTTCTTCTCCAACATGAGAAAAATACATCTTTGTTTTGGAAGGGAAGATAAGCAAAAAGATTTATTTGAATTACAGACTATGAAAAAACAGTTTTGGGGTCAAAATAAATGGAAGTTTTCAACAAATGGACAAAGAAAACTAGCAAAGATAGTGTTATACCATACCTATGGACTATAATCTGTATGTCCCAATTTGTATAAATACAGTAGAATATACTGTATGTGGTAGTCATTTGGATTCATTCGGGTTTCACCTTGATTCATTTCTAGTAGCTGATTATTTGCTACATGCCGCTGTCAAGTCTTGTATGTTGTTCCTGCTGTAAATATTATCATTCCATTTCCAACCTTTATTTTGGTTATTCTTATTCAGTAACCTTTTCCTAGGTTATGATAGACAGCATTTAGTTAGTTATATTTGCCATAAAGAAGAAAAACATTCGGTGATGAAGGTTGATTGTATGTGTAAATATTGATAGATTTTGTGTGTCTTTTCATAATATTTACTTAGAATCTTGTACTTTGGTTGCTTTCATGTCGTTATCCAGTGTTTTAATATCTTGAATCTTTTAAATATTTTTTTATTGGTTATTTAATTTCTCTGGCTGACTAGCCAATTTTTTTTTTTTTTTTTTTTTTTTTTTGTCTCTCTTTGTGATGTTCTTAAAGCTATTTTTTCTTGTCAATTTTTATATTTTTCTTTGTGTTCTGTGACCTTTGTTGTAATTTCCAGTATTGTGGTCATTCCAAAATTTTACAATATCTTTTTTCTCTTTTGAAGTTAAATCTTTCTAATGACCCATGATTATCTTTAAATATTTGAAATTAAAAAAAATTCCTAATTATATAATGAAAAACTCATTTTGCATGATAGTCTAACAAAACAAGTTATGTGAATATTTTTGGCAAAAAAAGGTTGAAATTCACACATTATCATCTAAAATTCTTTCTTCTATGTGCCATGTTCTTTTAGGATGTGGGGGATCATGTTTTTCCACAATCTTCTGTCCTTAGAAGCTTTGGTTTGTTTTATGGCATATTAACCTCAATGGATTATTTAATGCCGACAAAATTTTTATTGCTGTTTTTTTTCTTTTTATTTTTCTTTTTTTTTTTCAAAAATGTATTGCCGGTAATATTTTTTTCCTTCAAAAATCTATTTCTGGTAATATTTTTTTTTCAAAAATGTATGGCTGGTAATATATTTTTTCAAAAAATGTATTGCTGATAATTTTTTTACAAAGTATTTCTGGTATTAAATCCTATTTTTACACTTTCATAGTGTTTTGACCCCAGTTTAGTGGTTAACTATTTGCCCATAGCTGGGACCCTAACAGGTGCTACTACCCAGGTCAGTGTGGACCTGGGAACACCAGCAATTAAGAGGTTATTCCATGCTCCTCAAAACCTCCTGATTGGAGGCCTTACTGTTGGACGTAGTTTATCGTCTTACCCAGGACTCGGATGTAGTTTATCATCATACCCAGGACTGTCCTTAGTAGCACTTACTAAAGTTTGCCTTTTCACTATCTCTTCTAATCATTGTTCTATCAACTATTTACATACGCTCATTATGTAGGTTACATGCTGATTTTCTTTGACCCTCTTGCCTTTTTGAGTGACAAATTTTCTAAGCCTTCCGTCTTCATTATATACATTTGAAATTTCAACTGTCTCTTTCTGATGTTAAGTATAAATTTCCTTTTTGCTTTCATTTTATCTAAAACTTTGTTGTTGCTCACATGGTATTCTCAGCATCCTACTATAGAACAACATTTCTGTTGTGTCAAGTCACTTCTTCATCTCTGAGGAGACTGTTCAGTATCCAGTGCCATGCAGGAGCACTGATATGTTCATGATTGAGTGTTTGTTTCCCAACCACCAGACCTAGGTTTGAACCTCACCATGGGTGATTTGTTAAGAAATTGATTTCTTGGTGTTATTGGTCTTGGAAAATGCCAAGCTTTGTGAGTGAAAATTGGGTAGCTGGAACTGTTTAGAATTCCTTGATGGTTATGCTAGCACAAAGTCATCATGACTGAGGTATTGATCAAACTGCTGATGATGACAGACAGATTAACTGTATTCCCCCAAAGTCCTGGGTATGATGATAATCTACATCTGCATCCTGGGTAAGAAGATAACTACGTCTGAAAGCAAGGCCCATGATTAGGAGGTTTTGAGGAGCATGGAACAACCTCTTAATTGCTGGTGTTCCCAGGTTCACCCTGACCTGGGGTGGTAGCACCTATTAGGTTCCCAGCTATGGGCAAATAATTAACCCCCAAACTTGGGTCAAAGCACTAGGAAAGTGTAAAAATAGGTTTTAATACCAGAAATACTTTTTTGTAAGAAATTATTACCAGCAATAAATTTTTGAAGGAAAAAATTATTACCAGCAATATATTATTGGAAAAAAAAAAAAATACCAGCAATAAAATTCTTGTTGGCATTAAATAACCCACTGAGATTGATATGCCTTAAACCAAACCAAACCAAACCCAAAACTGCACAGGATAGTTGTAGTATAAACCACAGTTGGGATCTGTGGGTATTGGACAAACAAAAATATGACTGAGCAAGTCTCTGCAACAGGGATTAGCTAACTACTCAGAAAATGTGTCTGGTCATTATATATATATATATATATATATATATATATATGGAGGAAAGATGGCGATGCCTTCAAACAAGAACAGAGTTCCAACAGTGAAATCTCATGGTGGCAGTATTATGGTTTAAGGATGTTTTTCTGCAAAAGGTACTAGCAACATCTCAGTAATAGATGGTAAAATAAGCTATATATTAAATATGTCTAAGTAATAGACTTATTTTGTTGTTCTGTATTTTGCCCTACCTAAGCTAACACAATTCATTTTTGATTTCATTTGAGGGCAAGTACCAATAAATAATTATCATCTCTGCTCAAAGCAAATTCTTTAAACAGACACAAAGTATTTTGATATATTGTGCTTCTGTACTGAGTCATTTGAAGTTCAAAATGCAATTACTCAATACAGAATTATCTTGTATATATTCTTGTATTATGTTTCATTCTAAATCAGTGGTTCCCAATTGATTTTGGACCATGCCCCACTTTGATATTTCTAAAATTCTGGTGCCCCCCTCCCATAGTATTTAATTCTTACATGTATGCCAATTACACATGTACATACATGCACACAAAATATTTTTATGTATGCATACTGTATATGCATCATATGTATTAACACACATTAACACTCTCACTTAGACATACTAGAAAACAATTCACTGTTAATAACTCATTCTCAGATTGCCCCCTTATTCTGTTGGTATAGTAAGCCAAAGGGAGCACATCCTATGCATGTCCCACCAAAAATATTCCATATTCCCATGCTCCACTAGTTGGGAATCATTGTTCTAAATCCTGATTCATATCATTTAAAGTTTTTAATGATTTATTTTCATAGGATTAAGTAATTTTGGTAAGATTACCTATCCTTTTCTACTAGGAGACTTCTCTGGATGTGCAATTGATGGCATTGTTTAAAGTAGTATAAAAAATGCTATAAGTCCTCTTCTTTTTTTTGGTAAGATTACCTATCCTTTTCTACTAGGAGACTTCTCTGGATGTGCAATTGATGGCATTGTTTAAAGTAGTATAAAAAATGCTATAAGTCCTCTTCTTTTTTTGGTAAGATTACCATCCTTTTCTACTAGGAGACTTCTTTGATGGCATTGTTTAAAGTAGTATAAAAAATGCTATAAGTCCTCTGGTAAGATTACCTATCCTTTTCTACTAGGAGACTTCTCTGATGTGTAATTGATGGCATTGTTTAAAGTAGTATAAAAAATGCTATAAGTCCTCTTCTTTTTTGGTAAGATTACCTATCCTTTTACTAGGAGACTTCTGGATGGACAATTGATGGCATTGTTTAAAGTAGTATAAAAAAATGCTATAAGTCCTCTTCTTTTTTGGTAAGATTACCTATCCTTTTCTACTAGGAGACTTCTCTGGATGTGCAATTGATGGCATTGTTTAAAGTAGTATAAAAATGCTATAAGTCCTCTTCTTTTTTTGGTAAGATTACCTATCCTTTTCTACTAGGAGACTTCTCTGATGTGCAATTGATGGCATTGTTTAAAGTAGTATAAAAAAATGCTATAAGTCCTCTTCTTTTTTGGTAAGATTACCTATCCTTTTCTACTAGGAGACTTCTCTGGATGTGCAATTGATGGCATTGTTTAAAGTAGTATAAAAAAATGCTATAAGTCCTCTTCTTTTTTTGGTAAGATTACCTATCCTTTTCTACTAGGAGACTTCTCTGGATGTGCAATTGATGGCATTGTTTAAAGTAGTAAAAAATGCTATAAGTCCTCTTCTTTTTTTGGTAAGATTACCTATCCTTTTCTACTAGGAGACTTCTCTGGATGTGCAATTGATGGCATTGTTTAAAGTAGTATAAAAAATGCTATAAGTCCTCTTCTTTTTTTGGT